GGAGGAGGGGCACGGGGTGCAGGCCAGCTATAGCCTCTCTCTAGCTCTTCAGAAGATGAGGGTTTGATTGATTGTTTGCCTTAAGACAGTACTCAGTCTGTAAATGGAATATACCCTATGCCCTTCCTGGGGGTCACCTGTCCCTATGTGCACAGCACTAAGTAAGGATGCTACGTATTGCCTTTCTCTGAAGGCAGCTGACTTCTCAGACTGGGAAGTGGGAACAGGGCAATGCAAAGTTATTAGGGCTATCAAGCAATTAAAAAAAATTAATTGCACTATTAATCATGCAGTTAATAATAGAATACCATTTATTTAAATATTTTGGATGTTTCCTACCTATTCTACAAATATATTGATTTTAATTACAACACAGAATACAAAGTGTACAATGCTCACTTTTATTTTTATTACAAATATTTGCACTGTAAAAAACAAAAGAAATAGTATTTTTCAATTCACCTAATACAAGTACTGTAGTGCAATCTCTTTATCATGAAAGTTGAACTTACAAATGTAGACTTATGTACCAAAAAATCTGCTTTCCAAAATAAAACCATGTAAAATTTTAGCGCCTGCGAGTCCACTCAGTCCTACTTCTTGTTCAGCCAATCGCTCAGACAAACAAGTTTGTTTACATTTGCAGGAGATAATGCTGCCTGCTTCTTCTTTACAATGTCACCTGAAAGCGAGAACAGGTGCTCGCATGGCACTGTTGTCGCCCGCATCACAAGATATTTACATGCCAGATGTGCTAAAGATTCATATGTCCCTTGATGCTTCAACCACCGCTCCAGAGGACGTGTCCATGCTGATGACGGGTTTTGCTCGATAACAATCCAAAGCAGTGCGGACGGACAAATGTTCATTTTCATCATCGGAGTTAGATGCCACCAACAGAAGGTGGATTTTCTTTTTTGGTGGTTTGGGTTGTGTAGTTTCCACATCGGAGTCTGAAAGCATGCTCCACACCTCATCCCTCTCAGATTTTGGAAGGCACTTCAGATTCTTAAACCTTGGGTTGAGTGCTGTAGCTATCTTTAGAAATTTCACATTGGTACCTTCTTTGCGTTTTGTCAAATCTGTGGTGAAGGTGTTTTTAAAAGGAACAACACGTGCTGGGTCATCATCAGAAATTGCTATAACATGAAATATATGGCAGAATGTGGCTAAAACAGAGCAGGAGACATACAATTCTCCCCAAAGGAGTTCAGTCACAAATTTAATTAACGCATTAATTTTTTAACGAGTGTTCTCAGCATGGAAGCATGTCCTCTGGAAAAGTGGCCAAAGCATGATGGGGCAACGAATGTTTAGCATATCTGGCGCGTAAATACCTTGCAATGGCAGCTACAAAATTGCTACCCAAGCGCCTGTTCTCACTTTCAGGTGACATTGTAAATAAGAAGGGGGCAGCATTATTTCCTGTAAATGTAAACAAAATTGTTTGTCTTAGCGATTGGCTGAATAAGTAGGACTGAAGTTTTACATTGTTTTGTTTTGGAGTGCAGTTATGTAACAAAAGAGAAATCTATATTTGTAAATTGCACTACAGTACTTGTATGAGGTGAATTAAAAAATACTATTTCTTTTATCATTTTTACAGAGCAAGTATTTGTAATAAAAATAATATAAAGTGAGCACTGTACATTGTGTTCTGTGTTGTAATTGAAATCAATATATTTGAAAATGTAGAAAGACATCCAAGAATATTTAATAAATTTCAATTGTTATTCTGTTGTTTAACAGTGCAATTAAAATTGTGATTAATCGTGATTAATTTTTTTGAGTTAATTGCGTGAGTTAACTGCGATTAATTGACAGCCATAAAAGTTAAGTCTGTGTTGCTGGGAAAGTGCTGATCTTCCAGCAGTTGAGGGTACAGATGCACTAGCAAGAACTTAAAGTTCTGCTTGCATTTTTCACTTCAGCTAAGTGTGTGCTGTACAAGCTGAAATGCAGCTACCATCTAACAGCAGTCTTGCACAAACAGTCTAGGACTGTCAGCAAAGCTTAATGCCGTATTAATTTGAAACCACCTGAGGAGTTTGGTCCTGCAAAAACTGACATGCTTAAGTCTCATTGGACCTTGATTCCCTGAGACTACTTGAGTGTTTAAATTTTCACAGGTTTGGGGCAGGTTAGTGCCAAGGTTGTTAATCATGCTGAAGACACCAAGATAAACATCAGTAAATAGAATAAATAGTGCCTCAGGATCTTGAATGGCTACAGCAGTGATACTCAAACTGTGGCTCACAAGCTGCAAGTGGCTCTTTAATGTCTCCTGCAGATCTTTGAAGCACATGATATTAATACAGTGTGTGATTTAATTGTTAACCAACCTAAGTTATTAACCAATCAGGATGCTTTTACTATGTTGTTAATCAATTGTCAACTTGCATCAAGTTATTAACTTATTTGCTGTGAGAATTATATAATATATATAAACTAAATATTTCCCATCATGCTGTTTAAATATGAATAGTACTATAGTGAATGAAACAATGAATTCACACTACTGTGGCTATTTGGGTAATGTTGATTGGTAATTTGGCTCCTGAACCACTGAGATATGGGTATCACTGGGCTACCGGTAATCAGTGCCTCCCTTTTATGTCTCATCTAAAAGAAGGGGTCTCTATCATCACAGTGCCCCTTAACACCTTGCTGGGGCATTGAGTTAGTACTGCATCAGAGGGCATAGTGACAGAATAACTTGCTGCTTCCTTAGAGAAACCTCCCAGTGCAATGTCCACTTGGCCTGGGGCTGCTAACTTGTGAGTTCTGACATCCCTGCTTTAAAGGAATCTGCAGAGGTAATAACAGGGTTGTTCTTTTGTTTAATTCTTTACAATATGTAAAGAAGTCCTGGGGAAAAACCTTAAGGGAGTTGGAATTTACATTAGTAATCCAGGTATTGTCTACTTTGAAGACTGTGTGGATGACTGAAGAACTAGTAGGGAAATTATCTTACAGGTACCAAAGGAAGTGGGACTTGAGTGAAGAGAGGGATTTTTATTCTGTCTGTTTATACTCTTGGTGCTTTGTTTATTTGTTAACGCCTAGCTAAACTCAATTGCCTGACAGTTTTGGAGGAAAGAATCAATAACAGAGTAACAATCCTGTTCCTTCAGTTAAGCGTTGTCATAGTTACCACTGGAGTTATTGGCTCCTCCAAGGAGTCTTCAGCAAAAACAGGAAATGCAAGACTTGTAAATTCATACATGTTAAGGCCAGAAGGGACCATTATGATCACCTAGTCTGACTTCCTGTGTCACACAGGCCAGAGAATTTCACCCTGTATAGTCCTCGTTAAGCCCAATAACTAACTAGAGCATATTTCTTTACAAATACATGCGATTGGACATAGTATTCCATTAATAGTCTCACCAGTGTCAAATACAGAGGTAACAACATCTCCCTATTTCTACCTAATATTCTCCTGCTTATACATCCAAGGGTTGATTTTGGCAGCAGCATTGCCCTGAGCGCACATGTTCAGCCAGTTTTCATTGTGGCCCCTAAGTCCTTTTCACAATCTCTGCATTCAAGGATACAGTTCCCCATTCTGTAAGTGTGGCCTGCATTCTTCATTCCTAAATATATGATCTTGCATTTGGCTGTATTAAAATACTTTGATCACCCCAAAGTTGCCATGCAGTCCAGATTGCTCTGTTGGGGTGACATGTCTTCATCCTTATTTACAACCCAACATTTTTTGTGTCATCTGCAACATTTATCAGATCATTGGATTTTATATTGTCTTCCAGATGGTTGATAAAGATATTCAGTATCATTGTAATGAAAGCTGATCCTCTTGAGTCCCCACTAGAAACCCCCAGCTTGATGATGAATCTCTATTAGCAATGACGTTTTGAGATCTCAGATAGTTTCTAATCCATTTACTATGTGCTATATTGATTTCTGAATGATACTATTTTCATTAACATATCATGAGGTAAAAGTCTTGCAGAAGTCAAAGCATATTGTGTCAACACTTTAAAAATCAAGCTTATTTGACAGGACCTATTTTCTGTAAAAAAAAAAAAAAAAAAAAAAAAGCATCTAATCAGGCATTAATTCTACCATCCTTTTATTCTATATTGATTGAGCCTTGTATCAGCCATTCCATTATTTTACCCAGGATCAGTGTCAGTCTGGCCTATAATTACCTTTATGATCCCATTTACTCTTTTTAAATATTGGCACAACTTTTCCTTCCTTCCAGTCCTCTGGAACTTCCCAAGTATGACAAGATTTATTAAATATTAATATCAGTGCTCCAGAGATGTCCTCGGCCTACTCTTTTAAAACAGGTGCCAATTATCCTGATTTGCCATTCTAAAAATATTTATCTTTTGTTGAGTTTGTTTAATGTCCTTCTTAGTTATTGTTGGCACCGAAAGGATTTCACTATCATGTGATACCAATATATCATCCAGCTTCTTTCCAAATTAAGAACAGAAATGTTGATTGAACATTCTTGTCTTGTCTGCATCATTAATGATGTAATCACCATCTCCATGCATCATGGACCCATATATTGTTAGTATTTCTTTTGTTCCTAATATTTAAAAAAAAAAAACACTTCTGATTGGTCTTAACATTATTGGCTATAGATGGTGTGAAGTAAATATTATATTAAATGTTCAGGATAGAAAGAAATACAGTTTCCTCATTTCCTGAGCACCATCCAGCCTGTGCATTGAGTAAGGCTGTCCAGTGCGGGGAAAACAGTATGTGATTATGTAAATAAAGAATGTATAATGCATATGCACAATGGGGCGCATTAAGATTGCACAGATACTTACATTCTGCCATTTCCTAACTTTTGAGTTGATTTATTAACCTAAATAACCTTCATTTAACATAGTTATTTTTGTACATAAAAATGTAAATAGATTGGCCAG